TCTTTATCCGACGCTTTTCGTCAAGGGCATTTTCCAATCGATGAGCTACTGATATTGGGGGTACTCTGTAGGTAATATTGCCGACTGACTATAAGTGACAGCTTTGTACGATGCAACGCGTACGCAGATCCACTTGTATATGCTACTTAGTAAAGTTTACTATAACGAATTACATTTAAAGATTGTCGGTTAGTCCATCTAAACTATCATTCGTGGCGAAATAAAATAATTCAGTCCACAAAAAGTCTATTTATGTTTAAAAAGGTCTATTAATATGATAATGTATCATCATCTTGGCGCCTCCTAGCGCATGTTCCCTCAGCTTTAAAGAGTCTTATTCATATCGGAACAAACAAAATGTGATTCTGGATGAAGCACAAGATTATATAGGATAATAGGTATAATGAGATTATAATTAGTGGCGCTACAGCGCGACATATTTTTACTAGCACAAATTACTCTTCCTAGGTAGTATCGATGTTTATACTACTCGCTTTAACAGAAATTATTCGGTGCTTCCTTTGCCTTAGTACAGTTGCCGGTAGCTATATTTAGAGTGTGGATGATCGCCACATTGGGTCGCTGAGCATCTTGCTAACACAAGACTTATACGTATAGCATTTGCACTCAACCTTTTTATATCCACACTCTAGTTGCAGGCATTATAGTAATTTACAAAAACCTTTTGTTTAGGTGATAAATAAGAAGCAGGCATCTTTACATGTTATGTAAAGGAAATTGCTAAATTCACACCCCTTTTCCTTAGATTCACACCCTTCCTTCAAAATCTTATATATAAAATCCCTATTCATTTTAAAATTTGATTGACACAACGTCCCACGTGATTTCGGCCACTTGGCTCCAGTCCATATCTCCACCTTCACGCGCCTTGAGGACCGTTGTCACTGTTAGGTACAACACGTACGCCCATCCAGCGCAAGAGACGTCATTGTACGCTAGCAGGTACAAATTTAGCTGCGAGGACTACGCATACAAAAATAGGGAACTATGGTCAGCCTCTGCGTTGCAACCTGAACACTCGTCTGTATCTCCTCTTGTTCTCAACTTTTTGGCCTGCACGACCGTTCGTGGAAAGTAGTCAAGAATAAAGCCACGACGGCATTACGAAATCTTGATGGAGTCCTAAATGATACCAACGACAATCTCGTTGGTCACAAGTGCGCCCGACTCCATCGCGGCTTTGACCATTTGCCTATGTCGGTGCCAGCGGCGACAGCAGCGCGCAAGATGTCGCCCGTAGCCAAGTGGCAGAGAAAGTACTCGTCTTTGTCCAACGGCGATTGCGTACCTTGTATATATAAGATTTTGAAGGAAAGGTGTGATTCTAAGGAAAAGGGGTGTAAATTTTGCAACTCACTACGTAAATCAGCTGATATAAATTATATGTTTGTTGACTTTTAAAAGCGTCACCCGGTATATTAAGATAAAGTCATTACCGGACTGTCAATCGCTCAACGTGTACTGGGTATCCACGAAACATCTTCTTACGTCCACATTTGCTTCAAATGAAAAACGCACCTTCATTTTCCGTTGGGAAGGAGGAATTTGTGATCAACGAACTCGATAATACGATACTGTAGCTTCTGGTGTCGATCATCTTTGTACGCGCCCTACAGTCAACGAGGACACGAAATGAAATGCATTTAGTCCCGTTTGTCGTGATGTTGATATGTATCACATCATCATCATGGGCAGCAACACACAATGACTGCGTGTCTAAAGCAAAGTTTTATCAAGATATTCGCGAAGCATCTTGTATGTTTGCTGTATCAGTAGATGATATGGTCCTATAGACGTCGATCATTCTTCAGATTCCACCTCTACAGGCCCCGAACATCATTGACAATACGTTACGCTCATGCGACTTTAAAACAACGCTTAAAAGCTTTCACGAATTTTTAATCATGGGTGGTCGCACATGTCGCTATGAGCTAAAGAACACTGTACGTGGGTCACTGCAGCAATAGACGTTTGCCTCAACTCTGACATCGTGTGTACGATTGCGATCGCTCGCAACTCGACAGAGATGTCACTCGCTCTCGATATAGAAGAGGTACATAGGCTCTAGACCGCCGCTTCTATGTCGTCTAGATGGAAAAAATATGTTGATATGGCATAAGCTTGTCTCAAGCTGATATAATCCCGCGTTGAAGTGCTCTTTATAAATGGTTGACGTAAAGGCCAACAAATAGAAGGGACAAGAAACCACTACTCAAAGAAAGGGTCCCAAAGAGAAAGTGATCACAAAGGCAAAGATGATCTCGGAGGAGAGAACGTGCAGGACCTATCTAGGAAGATCGTGGTCAGGTTACCGATTAAATGGTGCTGAAAGGAGTCAACCACGGTCCCTCATCGGAAAATCCGGTCTCTAGAGGTAGACCTCGGTACCTCATTGATAAGCACAGTCCTTAATCGGCCGACCTTGGTCCCTCATCGGTGGACCAGACTCTCGAGGTCCGGCTACTCCTGACCAGTCAGATAAATAGTCAAGGCATAAGGAAAGGATAGAGCAAAGGAGTTAACGAAAAGGAATATATTGAAGACTATCTAATTCGGTGCTGTACATGACTCGTCTTCTTCGTGCTTGAAAAAATGTGTAAAATCTGTCCGACTGTTCTAGGAGAGAAATATTGTAACGGGGTGAGCCCGTTACATAAAAATTGGTACGAAAGTTCTAAAATTTGAATATTATCTATTTTGATAACAATTAATCAACATCACTCGAGAAAAGTGATGTTGTCGGAACATTACCTCTAAGGGTAATATCCGTGGAGGGGTCCCCTTCTTGGTTGGTGTACACGGTACATCAACCAATATAACCACCAATCGCTGCTGGACCCGCGCAATGGGTGGTGGACAGAAGATCCACATAGGAGACAGTAGTTTAATAAATTTAGTTTAAGACGAAAGATGATTTAGTAAGAAAATAACTATATTAAACAACAGTTCTACTTTTCCCTCAAGACAGAGCTTTCGGGTTCTGTATTGTCTTGGCGCGCTTCCTCACGCCACGTGTACGTAACGTCGGGAGTACGCACCCTTGTATTGTTATCAATACAAGGCCTTGCTCAGTTATCTGAGCAAGAGCGTGGCCCGTTACAGATATACTTTGACCTTTCGCTAAAAAAACAGTTGCGTGGCAATACCAAGTGCAAGTAGAAAATTAGGAAGTGTTTGGCCTGTGTTTTTGTCTTGAGTAGCAGCCCTTATCAATGATCCGCTTGAGGAAGATGCCTTCCAACTCCGTGGTCAGGAAGTAAAGCAAAAGCCTGGTGGATCGTACCGCTAAGGCAAAAGGGAGCGACCAGGTTCCCAAAGTAATTGGCTATAGGTCTGCTCTTAACTAAGTCGATCGAGTGGACACCTGCTGGTCCACCGAGGGAAGTATATGAAATTGTGGACTTATGTCTAACTCTGTCAAGACCAATATCTACATCTCCACGTAAGTCTTCCGAGGAGTGCGACCCGTGAGCCGACAAATACATTAGGTGAGTCAAGGTCCATACGCGGGTTCCGGGTATCCTCTCCATTAGTCGTCAGTCCGGCACAGTGAGTGATTTGGGGTCTCATCCCATGGTATGAGAGCCCACTCGACCACACCTCATCTTCGCCAAATTATCGACATATCAAGCGTCTCCAGATATAGGTGGGACTGGTGAGCGTAGACGAGACCATCTACAAGGACCTTGATTCTTTATCGATATAGCAGCATGTGATTGTAAATCGATGTGCTTGCACACGATACCGCTGTTCTATGTGTGATGAACAGAAGTAAATATTGATGCCTATTAGTACTAAAGTCCAGCAGCTCATCTTGGGCGATTCAATCGGTATGCAGGGTCTCTTTGGCTGCTATAGTCGCTACTGTAAGCATCATGCAACCCAAACAAATGAGTCATGAAGGTTGAGCCTGAATGCCCAGTCTTTGGCACGTCCATCCAAGTTGGATATGAACAATCTCACCTTCATCGCACCGACCTCGATGTGATGTGCAATGATGGCATTCTCCAGCTTTAAATGATCAGTCTAGCAGAGAGTCTCCCTCGGGTGTCGAAAGCCTGAATACTGTAAATTGCTAAGCCGACACAAGTGCGTCGGCCAACAGACAGCAGCATTGTCTTGCTGTCGTCATCACAGCTCTAACTGTGAAGGACCCTAGTCTCTCGACAGATTAGATTGTCGGGAGACTGCTTATGAAGCAACATCGTCGTTTTTCGGCCGCGTCAAGTTCATTTTGCACGTCAAGGGGATCGCGGTATGCTGCTCGTCCACGTTTGCGCCAAGCAACATGGCGATCACGCCGGACAAAAAAGGTCAAGCTCGTACATTCGACCGCAGCCCGTTCCCCACTGCCTAATTGGACAAGCTTTCACGCGCGGTGTAAAAGCCACCTCGCTCACGAAATGTCTTTGGTGGACGAACGATCATCAGGAAACGAATCACGAAGTACTACCAAGCGAAACGGGTGCTCACGGTTACATGACACAGCAGTAAAAGCTACTCCACACCATCATCAGTGCAGGCGTGTGCCTCGAACCTAATGTACGCGAGCGTGCAGAGGAAGCTAGACAAAAAACAAGGCGCTAGTCAAATATAAGAAGAAAATTGTCCACGCACCTGGAGTCTTGGCTTTGCAGGTCTGCTTAATCGCTTGCATCATTGGCTTTTCATTTGCATCCATTGTGCTGCACTTTTGACGTAGCTCAATAGAGTCAGGCAGGTGGTCAACCTGAGGTGCGAGAAACGAGTCAATCCAATGAGGGAACGTGATCAACACGTGTGACAAGAGACAGCAGCAGCCTTTCGAATGCCCCGCCACGACGTTTCATTCGTCCATAAGTCTTTCATTGTACGCTTTATAGCTACTGTGCAACAGCTGCCACTCCGCTGCAACGGCCATCATCAAGTCAGACTCTTGGGCGATAATACTATCGTCAGCATTTAGACCGTCCGTTAAACTGCATCTCATCAACGTCAGTATGGACGTCGCCGTCGCCGCTCATCGCGGACTGCATGCAGAGAACGAGACGAACGCGACAACGGAGACGACCGCTTTGCAACAGGCGTCGCTTGGTCAGCTCGTACTTACGGGAACGCTCTTCGGGCTCATCCACGTGCTGACAGGTCCCGACCACCTCAGCGCCTTGGCGACGCTCTCCGCTGGGACGTCGTGGCGCTCCTTTTCGCTCGGGATGCGATGGGGTTGCGGCCACAGTATCGGCCTTATGGTTATGGCCGTTATCTTTGTCGCTCTGGACGGGCAACTGGACTTCACGGTGCTCAACGTGGTCACGGACGTCATTGTCGGTGTCTTTATGATTGCATTGGGCCTCTACGGTGTGCTCGAAGGTGTGAAGAAGGCGAGACGGAGCAAGCGACGAGGCACAGCACAAAGGCAGTGGGACAGCTGTGGTAAACATGAGTCGGAGGAGGAGAAGATGATGAAGAAGAAGAAGGTGGAAACAGGTGTGTCGGACGAGACGGAAGACGAGACTGGGGAAGGATCAGAGACGGAGATGAAGACAACAGTCGACTCGGATGGGAGTCCCACTCGCATTCTACTGAACGGAGAAGCGACTCCATCGCCTGACGAGATTGTCGTGTCTTCCAGCAGCAGGTGCGACGAGGAGGTGCCACTCGATGCACGGTGGAGAAGGTCGGAGGCTATGAGGATAGGAGAGTCGTGTGACGCCAGTGCTGGCGAGAAGTCGCTGACGGTGGACATGGCCGCAGAACTATCACGACGACATTCAGACAGTGAAGAGACCATGTCAACGGCTACTAGTCCGTGTGAGAGTGCGGTAGCGCTAGAAGAGCTGTTGCCGGATCGCAGCGAATCACTTGACGAAGCGGGATGCAGGATTGACGACGCAGAGTACGGCACCGGTCTCATATGCTGCGGCATCAGGTTGCCGACGATCGACTTTCAGAACGCACGGACGCAAAAGGTATGCATGCATGCGCTCATCGGTCATTGCTCGGCACTACCATCAGTTTTCCGATTGTATGCCATGTTTGACTGGTACGATAGGTATGATGTCGGTAACATGTTGTGCTCTGTGTATGCTGTCCCAGTGCACGGCGTTGCTCGTAGGTATCGTGCATGGAATCGCGGGGCCAGGTGGAATCCTCGGTGTCTTGCCAGCAGTAGGGCTACACGACACCATCAAGTCGTTCACCTATCTCTGCTCCTTCTGCTTGACATCCATTGTCACAATGGGTGTCTTTGCTGCTGCATACGGTGAGGCTACAGGTCGACTTGGCGACCGTTCCGAGGTCCTGGCCTTCCGCGTATCTATGTTTTCGTCTTCACTGTCGGTGGTCGTGGGCGTCCTCTGGCTAGTGCTTACTGCCATGGGCAAGCTCCAGGAAGTCTTTGGCTGAGCAAGACATCCACGAATAAAGAATGTACACAAGAGTGAAAGGCAGACTGGACGCGACACGTTGATCCCATACACGTTTGTGCCGCGCGTGTGTCCGTCAGCATTTACAGCTCAGCAGGCATTCATTGCCCTGCAATCTCGCACGCATGTCTCCAACCACGTCATTCTATCACTTACAAAGTGTTAACGAGGAACCGCTCGAGCGCACTATCTCCACCACGCACAGATCGTCCATCTCTCAGTAACACTGCTGTCCCTATATATCTTCGGCCGACTTGTCCGTAGCAGGTGCAGGCACGTCCGCAACCGTCTGCCCCGTCACGTCCGTCGTCTCACCACCAGCAGCAGCAGCAGTGCCGTCCTGTTCGCCCGTCTTCTCCTGCGTCACGTCCCCTCCCCCATTGCTCTCCTCCTTTGCCTCCTCGGCCCCCTCGTTTGCTTCAACAACCAAAAACACAACAAATACAGGCAGCACAAACATAGGCAGCACAAACACATACAGCACAGCACAACACACTCCGTCGTCAGTGTCGTCTCCAGGCAAAGCCCACTTCCCCCACTTCTCCCCCTCGTCCGCACTCTCCGCCACGCACAGCTCTCGCGCTTCGTCTTCCAGTACTCGTCCATGTCGCTGTCGAGTTTCTTGCTCGCGTGCTCCTCCGACTTTCCCCAGTAGCTGTCCATCTCCGCGTCCAGTTCCGAAGCGGTCTTGGACTTGGGCTTGTCGCCACGTCGCCCGCCACGTTCGCCCCCTCTCTTGCCCCGCGGGCCCCTGACATCGCCACCGCGACGGCGACGAGTGCGACTGTCGCGCGCTCCTTCGTAGGGCGTTGCGCGGGCGCCGTCGCTCGTGCCGTTGCGGCCTCTCCTTTCGCGAACCATTTCGAGCGATCACGTGCGACACGATGCAGAGTACGAGGCACTGCTCGATCTCTTAAGTGTAGTATGGCATCAGGTTTGACAGGGCTCACTGCCACTGGCAGGGTCGAGCGTGGTGCGTTTCTAACGCGCACGTTGCGATCTCGTTTCTATACCGGGAGGCGACCAAAACACACTTTTTTTGCACTGCACGATCCCTTGCGGTGTTGGATTGCCATATGGCAGTTGAGCTGGACGATTTTTACATGACTCGATAGAGACTTGGACATCGGTGGTCGTTCAGACCAGACCCACTTGTGTGTCGCTTTGGAATACACGTTTAAGATGCGATGACGTCTCGGGGCTCAATCGTCATGGATTCTGCTACTGCGATCGCCGAGTAAGTGCTCGACGCAGAGTGATAAAAAGGGGTCTGAACGACCGAAGGAACGACAACTGCAATCACTCGCACGACTGCGTCTCTCTGTCTCTTCCGATCTAGTGCTTGCGAAACAGCCTGCAACATCGATGGCTGCAACTTTGACACTCTCTCTTTCGTCCGAGAAAATGGCCTCACACGACGAATTGCGAGGCAATGCAGATGCACCCGTCTTGTGCTAAAGACCATATCGTTTTTGAGGTACAGCGATTGTGGAGCCAAACTGGATCTGGATAGTGATACGATTCGTGCGTGCAGGAAAATACACGACATTTTGACTTGTTCTACGTGCTGGAGAATACGATGCGTGTCCCGAGAACTTACAGTGTCCGCCAAAAGGTTACCATGGCAGTCTTGAAGTAGCGAACGACGCAACTGGTAACCTGCAGTGTCCACAAAGGTTACCGTGCAGTTTCGAAGCAGCAAGTGAAGCAGCACACGTACAATTGACAACAGACAAGTAAACAAGGAGGTCGGTGTAATGTGACATTACATGTATTACGATGCTGAATGGCACCACACGACCCACAACGATGCTTTGGCACTGATCCTTTGTCGCGCATGCCAGACGTCTTGTGAGGCATTATGCTGACGATGCAAATGTACGCTGTTTTGACAGCTCACAATGTTGGTAGCAGCATTGTGCCATTTCGCGTACTTTATGATCCGCGTATTTTTCATTCGTGTGATGTTGCATCACCGTCGACAGGTGAAGCATTTGCGACTAGTCAGTCGAGTGAGCCGAGTAAAGAATGCTAGCCGGATCGAATGACCTGCATCTACTGTCTATGATGCGTCCTGTAATGCCCGCTTCGTCTCGGAAGCCTCGTGTAACAGCAAAGTCTGGCTGTATGATTTATTTAGTGCATGAAGATCTGGGATGTGAATGACAAGGCCGCCTCTGTTTATCCAGTCCGCACGATGACGTCCCGGGGATGCGTCCGCCTGCGCAAAGCAATAGAAAAAGTCGTCAATATCTTCTTAGGGGTGCGCACCTGCACAACACGTCACGAGTAGCAAAGCTACAGCACATCATACATGTCGGCAGCATTGGAGACGCTCGGCACGCCACGTGGCTTTTGCACGATAGCAGCGCCAGCCGCTGATGGTTGTAAAAGTGGTAGCTCTTCGCGGTTCGGTTGATCATGATTCATGAGGAAGCTGTCCTGGATCCAAAACTGCACCATGTTCATCACCAGCGGACAGCCGATCATCACGATCAGCAGCTCGATCTTCGGGTGCTTGTGCACGGGATAGAAAAGCAGCGAACCCATCCATCCCAGCGGCGTCGAAAACGCGTAGATCACGCCACCGACGAAAAACTTCATAATGGTCAGAATCGTGCACCATTGCAGCAACTGTATCCACCAGACTTTCCACGAGGGCGGGTCGCCATAGTATCCCTGACACCGCAGGCTCCTCCATTGCTGTCGGATCTACACGGCAAAACACAACGGCGACGTGAGCACGTGCTGACGATTGCAGCAAACCACAAGGCGCCAACAGACTACTTACCGCAATGATGGTAAATAGCTGTAGTAATAAATAGGCAAAGTACACGCCCAATGTCGTGTCGATCACAACGTTCATAAAGTAGAACGCGCACTGCAACATACCACAGGTACAGACGGAACCCCGTGAGCCAATTACAAGTGCCAACCTGTCAATCAAAAGTTCCAGCCAATAAGTATCTATCCATCTATCCGTCTATCTATCTACCTGGTCCTGGTCACTCGGCGTCTCGGACGAGTCCACCAGACCGATCGCCAGCACAATGTTCATCACGTGGATCATCGCAGCCGACGAGCCCTGCTTGAGCGCGTCCATGAACCAGACCTGAACCGGTCTCCGCGGTCGCTCGACGTGCCACTTGGCGTACAGGGACGACAGCGCGAGGAGACCGAGCAGCATCTGCACTGCGTCGTCCATACTGTCGGCGACGAGTGTGCAGCTCGAGCTCATGTTGCGCCAACGATCAGCTAAAGGTGCAGCGAGAGAGCGAGAGAGAGAGAGAATGGCGAGTGACGCGATGCAGAGGCGGCGGCGGCGGCGAGTGGCTTCAAGCTGTTTCGTGCGGAGTTGTGATTGGTAGTAATTCACGACCCCCGCGAGTCTGGGAACCCGCTAAACGGTCGAAACCGACTCGAAGGTCGCAGATCCAATCGCCTGGAGCGTTTTTCGAGCCTACAACCGCACGACCGGTGATGGATGGGAGGCACTTGCTGAACCGCACGATCTTTGCTTTATCGGTCGAGCGATCGCGTAGCGGAATCCCTCAACCCATCAGCGCTCTGTTTTCCGAAAATGAAACGGCGGGTGGGGTCTCCGCCATCGGAGTGATGTGATCGGATCTTGCACGTCACAAAGTTCCCGCCCAAAATTTGTGGACAGTGGATCGAACTGCATGTGCCACAACGCAGTAGCCAGACGCGTTTCCAGCTATGTACTGCACCTCAGCCTGCTAAGCTTCGACAAGCTGCAGTCCGATAACTCCATTGCGTGTTGACGTGCGTGCGAAGCTGCCATCACGTCGAAGCAGAATACGTGGAGAAATGGAAGCAAAGCGATTCGATGATGGAGTGCATTTACGTCCCAGGAACATCCAATCGCGACGAACGTGTTTGTTAGGTGAGGTATGACGGTAGCAAACAAGCTGTGGCTAGTCTTTCGCACTCAGTCTCGACGGACCACCGAGTACTTCGTGTGAAAGGACAAGAAACAGATTGAGGAGATGAAGGGCTAAATGTGTGTACTAGAGAGAATCAAACAGCATAGAAACGACGATTGCTATGATTCTAGTGTGGTCAATAGAAACTCGCTTTTTCATCCTGATGTACAATCACTTCCGCGGAAGGGGGCGTGATCCATAGTGTTGCTCACGTCTCTTCTATCGAAAGTTGACCAACAAGTACATCGACAACGTGTCATCGAGGAAGTCGCAACTTGATGATGTCGTGGAAATATCGAATATGCCGATGACGTCATAGAAATGAGAAAGTAGAACACAGCACACGAAATCAAGCGTGACGTGCGTCGACGTCCCAATCCTGCAATATTGTGCAAACTACGCTGAATGACAGAGCGCTGTGCGCAGAAATGGATGGCGGGTCGACCCCTCGTCACCTTAATTTACAGTGAGAGCGCCAATCGAGCGAATGAGCACTTTACGTCCCATATGAGCTATTCGCTTGTGCGCCGAGAATAACAATTGCCCTCGCGCACTAGAACATACCCTCCACCTATCATCCCAGTAGACTTGGTCAACAAAGCCACTGCATGTTTGCATAATCGTGCGCTTCACGGCGTATATGCCTCATCCCTCTGCATCACGAGGCACGTGGTCTTCGTCTCAGGCCAGAGAGAGATTATTAGTGCTTGATGCGACCCGTCGTTTTTCGTTTACAATTTCGTCTGTGGCCGCTTAGTCGCTGTCTGGTATGGTACAAACTTAAATGATGGTGCGCGATACAGAGGGCTCGTACAAACGAGTCAGCGAAGGAGAGCAGAATTGGTTGGATTGGAGTAAAGATAAGGTGCCTTCTATGCTCTTCACAGAGGCTTGACAAAATGGATTGTTGGCATCATCATCGTTGGCCGGCGATAATCTTGCGCAGCTGCTTTCGTCCTGTTGCGTGGCCTGCATTGCTGCAGTGCACTAGTACAGTCAGTAGCGATGTATGTCAACGTACGCCTTGCATCAACGGTAGATGCAGCAAAAGTTGTAAACGTTGCGCTGCTGGTCTAGGGGAGCAAGTCAATGTCACCCACGTCTTCATTCTAGACAATGAGCGGTCGTGGTGGGGTTTCAGTATTGATCGCAACAAACATACTGGTTCATCGCACGTTCATAATCCTCCATTAATCGCAAGACACGGCTGCGCTCAACGACGGTGCACCGGTTTCGCATATATTCCCGTGCACCACATTTTCCCAAGAAATCGCTTCGTGGACGCGTTTCGACACGATATTGATGCTGCTTGCGAAATTAGACAAACAAATCAGTTGTATACCCGCATTCGACCCATGTTTCGTCGTTCACATCTCCTATGCCGATCTGAAGATGGTGGATGGACACAAATGATCCGCAGTAACTTCGGCTACCATTTCTAGGGGCCATCGCAGACGGAACAATGTGAATTTCATAAGCGATAGCCTGGCACATTTCCATGCCGCCCCATCGGATCAGCGTCTTCTGTCTCCGATGTGTTGTCATCGATTCAGGCCACGAAGCCACGTGTCTAGTTAATGATGTCTTCTATTTTCATACGAACCGTCACGGATGTGTTCAGGAAAGACGCCATTCGAACTACAATGTAAAGTGTCTTGCTCGGTACACGAAGTATGCACTCTTCCTCTCTTCACAACTTTTAGTTTTAATACTAATATGCATTTAATTGCACGAAGCTGTAACGGGATACCCAATCTTATATTGATGACAGCATCAGCTGCTACACAATGCTGACCGTGTAGATCAGAAATCTCGAAATCTCTCATGCACGATAACGTGCGGAGATAGCGATGACAATGCAAAGGACACGCTTCGTTGTGGGGAAAGGTATACTTGCTTTCAATATGCCGAGACTAGATAAAGTCTGTCTAAAACCGTACTTAAACCATGTACGGTCGAAGTACGGTTATGCGTGCGATAATTTCTTGCTCACCACTCAAGTCGCGCGTATATCGTCGATTATTAATTTTGTTGGCTGACGTCATGACCTGTATCAGCCAACACGTAGCGTATTGTTCGCTTCCACCGAGTGTGATTTTCTGATAAAAAATTAAAAAAAATGCCCCATGCAATCATGGAAATAAAAAATGCACCACGTCCTCGTATACCCTACTTAATGTGGTACACATAGAAATACACGTCCTTAATCATATTCGTTATCCCTTTTACGGCCGTGGCCAACCCCCGCCCTGTTCGGGAATACGTGGATTGGGTGCTGCCGCGGGCGTGCTGCGCTTGCAGCCACCAGTTTCAGTCGTAGACGCGAGATATTAGGACGTAAACGCGAGATATTAGGACGTAAACGCGTCTTCGCATCACCAATCGCGGCCTTACACACAGAAAGTCGGTGCTTACATCATTGATATTACTATTTATATTTTGATTTGTTGTTTCAGTTGCTATCGTTGACGTTACAGCTGCTGTTGTTGTTGCTGCTGTTGTTGTTGTAGGTGCTGCGATTGCTATTAATGTTGTTCTACTCGTAGGATCGCATTTTCCTTCGTACTTGTTAGAATATATCATATATAACGCATAATCAAATCAAAAGACCCCAATCAATCTACTATTTCTATTAAGTTTTATTGATGACTTCAATGTTTGCAGACTTCTTCTTCAGCAGGCATTGAACAGGAAGAAAACGTGCGATGATGCCTTAAGCGTATTCGCCGAAGTATTTTGTCAGTTTATTGAACGAAAACGTGGTAAACATATTTTTGTCCTGATTCACTTATGTATCCTAAGGCGTGGTCATTTTTTTGTGATCAAATAGGGCATTTTTTATTATCTGATGTGTATTTTATTTTCGGATTTCTGGGGCATTCTTTTACTCTCCCTTTTCTGATCGACTAACATATGCACATTAGCATCCTCATCGGAGTAGGGTATAGCTGTACTGAACCTTAGTGTAATAATTACATAAAGGTTCAAAAATATCAATCTCATGCATAAAGTTTCGTCTTCCTGTCTCGTTACCCATTTCCAAAAGTCACGTTGGTGTCTATCAATAATAGCAGGTGACAAACATTTGATCGCTTTGGTGGCGTTTCTACTCAATAGTCTTACCACTCCGCTTCATCGTCATCCATATATTAGATCAAACTAACAAATAATAGGATGGGGTGCGTGCCAAAGATCAGGATCGCATTTTCACTAGAAAGTGCTGTCACAGCAAAGGATTTATCTGCGACCACGGGTGATGATTGATTTTATTCGACGGCATCTCATCTTGCGAACAAAAAACGGTTTCACTTTCACGTGGAAATGTAATGCTAGATGAGGATGGTCCCCCGTGTAGACCATCTACTCGAAAAGTATAAATTGCGTGATACTTAAAGTCGACCACGAAATTAAAGAATATGATGAGGGTAGAGAAGGTCGTGTCGACGCGGTCGTCCCTTTATGCCAATCATAGTAAAAAGAAGCACTGCAATATCTTCATCTCGCCTGACTCGACAGTCGATAGTACTGAGAAGCACGTCTTTCTTTCGCGCAAATGAGAAATGATGGTGATCAAGTAAAAGGACTGGGCTGATGTGATGCCGCTAGTCATATAAATATACGCTATGGTGGTCGGATCAATCGTAGTGATCGAAGCGACTGTGATGCTGGTATTATTGCCACACAACACAGTAGGAGAAGGACTGCATAATTTCGCGGCCGATTCAGCCATGGATGCTGCCAAAGCGATACATGCATTTGTAAATTCGAAACGATCAGCGATCGCAATCAGATTGAATTTTCTTATTCATCACATTTAGATTTTTCTGAGGCAACTTCCTTACCAAACACAAGTTTGACACCGATGTCTTATGCGGATTATGATGAAGTATTATGATCCTAAAGATCAATTGTAGCTCTTAACGATCCTGATACATCACTTTATCTTGTACATTATCAGGATTTGGATCACCCCCAGCGCTTTTCATAAAACCAATCATTACAGTCCAGGACGATCATTCCGATCCTCTCTGAGATAAATTTTATTCTATGTTTATAAGTGCTGCTCAATAGTACCACTCAAAATCTTGGTTTCGAATTACACTTTCGATTACAATATTGAGAAGTGTAACGGGGTGATCCAAATACAAGTCATTGATAACAAACAATATATATAGACACGATATTACTTGTTATTATGCATCAATATTACCGGGCTTAGGAAATTGTAACGGAACATTTCCATCAAGGGTGTGCTCCTAGGCCGATCCAATAGATGGTAGATATATGTAATGGC